TCGGCCCATAAAAATAAAATTGTGAACTTATGCTTGGTTTATATAATTATTACAAACTAACAATAAAGAGAATACAATAAAATCCTTGGATAATTGTATCAAGCACTTTATATTAATTAAACTTTAAATTTTATTAGTGTTTATGTCTTAATCATGGATATATTATGCGATAGTTTTAAATACTTTACATTTTAAAGTAATTATATTTACAATTAGTGTCAGCATAATATTATGATCAATAATAGTTTATGAAGAGATTTATGATTAGTTAATATGAGATATGTTGAATATTTCGATTTAGGCTTCACCTACAACGTGGTTTTGCTCTCACTGAAATTTACGATTAATGGTTCCATAAAAAAACAAAATTTTTTTTTTTAATGAGGGGAAAAACCTTCCGGAAGGCCTAGCTCTGAAATGGAATTTGAGCCGTGTGTGGGATTGACATTGTACAAAGTTAGTACTCTGCCGACCGCACTAAAAAAACCCCTCAAAAAATAATAATGCCAGTTCCGGATTAAAATTGGAAGTTTATACATAGAAACAATCAAGCAGTTTTTAATATTGTGAAAGAATTATTAAGAAAGGGAACATGCTTAGGTAATTTGGCAGTCATGCGTGACATTAACATTCATTCAGTTATTCTTTAAAATATGAAAGTATTATCCTTTTTCGAAGGCTTAAAATAGCGTGTATTTTTTTATTTGTTGTTAAAACGTTCGCCCTAGTATCATGTCTCAAATTTATAAAAAAAACGTAATTGTGGAATTTTCTACTTCAAAAACTATTACCCTCTTTTGAAGGCTTAAAATAACGTGTATTTTTTTTTATTTGTTGTTAAAACGTTCACTCTAGTATCATGTCTCAAATTTATAAAAAAAAACTTAATTGTGGAATTTTCTACTTCAAACACTATTACTCTCTTTCAAAGGCTTAAAATAGCGTGTATTTTCTTTATTTATTAAGATGTTCGCCCTAGTATCATGTTTCAAATTTATAAAAAAACTTAATTGTGGAATTTTCTACTTCAAACACTATTACCCTCTTTCGAAGGCTTAAAATAGCGTGAAGGCTTAAAATAGCGTGTAACTTCTTTATTTGTTGTTAAGATGTTCGCCCTAATATGTTTTAAATTTATAAAAAAAAATAATTGTGGAATTTGCTACTTTAAACACTATTACCCTCTTTCGAAGGCTTAAAATAGCGTGCATTTTCTTTATCTGTTGTTAAGATGTTCGCCCTAGTATTTTTCAAATTTATAAAAAAACTTAATTGTGGAATTTTCTTCTTCAAACACTATTACCCTCTTTCGAAGGCTTAAAATAGTGTGTATCTTCTTTATTTGTTGTTAAGATGTTCGCCCTAGTATTATGTCTCAAATTTTAAAAAAAAACTTAATTGTGGAATTGTCTACTTCAAACGCTATTACCCTCTTTCGAAGGCTTAAAATAGCGTGTAACTTCTTTATTTGTTGTTAAGATGTTCGCCCTAATATGTTTTAAATTTATAAAAAAAACTTAATTGTGGAATTTTCTACTTCAATTACTCTCTTTCAAAGGCTTAAAATAGCGTGTATTTTCTTTATTTATTAAGATGTTCGCCCTAGTATCATGTTTCAAATTTATAAAAAAACTTAATTGTGGAATTTTCTACTTCAAACACTATTACCCTCTTTCGAAGGCTTAAAATAGCGTGTATCTTCTTTATTTGTTGTTAAGATGTTCGCCCTAATATGTTTTAAATTTATAAAAAAAAACTTAATTGTGGAATTTTCTACTTCAAACACTATTACCCTCTTTCGAAGGCTTAAAATAGCGTGTAACTTCTTTATTTGTTGTTAAGATGTTCGCCCTAATATGTTTTAAATTTATAAAAAACCTTAATTGTGGAATTTGCTACTTTAAACACTATTACCCTCTTTCGAAGGCTTAAAATAGCGTGCATTTTCTTTATCTGTTGTTAAGATGTTCGCCCTAGTATTTTTCAAATTTATAAAAAAACTTAATTGTGGAATTTTCTTCTTCAAACACTATTACCCTCTTTCGAAGGCTTAAAATAGTGTGTATCTTCTTTATTTGTTGTTAAGATGTTCGCCCTAGTATTATGTCTCAAATTTTAAAAAAAAACTTAATTGTGGAATTGTCTACTTCAAACGCTATTACCCTCTTTCGAAGGTCGTGTACTTCTTTATTTGTTGTTAAGATGTTCGCCCAATACGCTATTACCCTCTTTCGAAGGCTTAAAATAGCGTGTAACTTCTTTATTTGTTGTTAAGATGTTCGCCCTAATATGTTTTAAATTTATAAAAAAAAATAATTGTGGAATTTGCTACTTTAAACACTATTACCCTCTTTCGAAGGCTTAAAATAGCGTGCATTTTCTTTATCTGTTGTTAAGATGTTCGCCCTAGTATTTTTCAAATTTATAAAAAAACTTAATTGTGGAATTTTCTTCTTCAAACACTATTACCCTCTTTCGAAGGCTTAAAATAGTGTGTATCTTCTTTATTTGTTGTTAAGATGTTCGCCCTAGTATTATGTCTCAAATTTTAAAAAAAAACTTAATTGTGGAATTTTCTACTTCAAACGCTATTACCCTCTTTCGAAGGCTTAAAATAGCGTGTAACTTCTTTATTTGTTGTTAAGATGTTCGCCCTAATATGTTTTAAATTTATAAAAAAAACTTAATTGTGGAATTTTCTACTTCAATTACTCTCTTTCAAAGGCTTAAAATAGCGTGTATTTTCTTTATTTATTAAGATGTTCGCCCTAGTATCATGTTTCAAATTTATAAAAAAACTTAATTGTGGAATTTTCTACTTCAAACGCTATTACCCTCTTTCGAAGGCTTAAAATAGCGTGTATCTTCTTTATTTGTTGTTAAGATGTTCGCTCTAGTATGTTTCAAATTTATAAAAAAACTTAATTGTGGAATTTTCTACTTCAAACACTATTACCCTCTTTCGAAGGCTTAAAATAGCGTGTATCTTCTTTATTTGTTGTTAAGATGTCCGTCCTAGTATCATGTCTCAAATTTAAAAAAAAACTTAATTGTGGAATTTTCTACTTCAAACGCTATTACCCTCTTTCGAAGGCTTAAAATAGCGTGTATCTTCTTTATTTGTTGTTAAGATGTTCGCTCTAGTATGTTTCAAATTTATAAAAAAACTTAATTGTGGAATTTTCTTCGTCAAACACTATTACCCTCTTTCGAAGGCTAAAAATAGCGTGTATGCGTGTATGAATTTTTTTTTAATCACTATCGCCATCTATTCAAACACTTTGTGATCAGATCATATACGAATTTTAATACTGCCAAAACGCAAGTTTTTCCTCGATGCGGTCCTATTGCTATTTTACAATGTAGCAGGTGTTCACCTAAACGTGTTACGATTAAACGTGTACCGTTTGATAATCCTTGTCTTACGTCTATGTTTCTTAATAAAACTACTATCGCATTTTCCTTTAATACTAGTTTATGAGGAGGAAAATTTGTGGGATTTTCTTCGTGTAGCGAAGACACATCGTTAACGGCTGCATATACGTCCAATGCTGGATTGTCTACGAGCGATTTATCTGCAGATAAATGTACTTTTTCTTCTCCAGGCAGCATATTTAAAAGTTTTGAATTTAATTTTCTAACGTCTGCGCGTCTGGCACTCAAAAGCAATTTTTCTACGGCGTCATTTTTACGTAAGGCTTCGTTGTTTTCGAAAACAAATTTTATAAGTTCGTCTTCATTTTGTATTAACATATCTGCGGGGACTAAAAATTCTTCAGTAGCGTCTGTATCTTCACCAATACGTTCTAATATTTGATTAAATTCTATTTCGTTTTCATTTATTCGCATATTTCTAATTAACGTTATTTTGTGAAATGCATCGAACAGTTCGGAATTTTTTATGGAACTTTTAATCTGATCGTCTAAGTCTCCAAATTGAATTACTGGCATTAATTGGCGCCAGTCACCTCCTATCAAAACGATTTTTCCACCGAAGAGAAGCTTTGAAAGATTTATTTGTGCAGCATGTTTGCACGCCTCGTTTATAATATTAAGATATTTTCGATGTAGCATGCTAATTTCGTCTATGATTATTAACTGCGTTTTTCTTATTCTTTGGGTTATAACGATATTCCACCGTATGGGTGGTACGTAATCTGTCCCTTTCCAAACGTCAGTGGGCAAATGAAAAGCGTTATGGACGGTCATATCGCGAGGTAAAAGTTGTGCAGCCGCACCAGTTGACGCTGTAACAATGGCATACTTTTTATACCTAAAGAATATATCTATGATAGTTTTATAGACGAAAGTCTTGCCTGTGCCGCCGGCCCCATTTAGGAAAATCAGCCTAGGCGATTTAGTTTATCATCTGGCGTAGATCCTACAGCTTTTATTATTAAATCGACGATTTTTTGTTCTACGTTTAGTTTTAAGTAAACCGGCAAATTTACGTAATTGCTAATGTTTTCATCTTCAATATATTCATTGGGAGCTTGCGATGGTAAATCGTTTGTATCGTCATCTCGATCGAAGATATCAGTTTCGCCAAAAAAAATTCTCTTTCATCGTCACAGATTTGTTCGTAATTTTCGGACATGGGAATATCAAAATCTGTATTCGTTTTCCAATTGTGACTTAAAATACGATTCAAAGAACAAAGGGCAATGTTTATTCTTCTCGATTTTTCTGCATCGTCGTTATCGCGCAAATTACGAGTATCATACATAAATGGGAGGAATTCGTTCCAAAGTGCGAATGGATCGGATACGTGTCCCCATACTAATATTTGTGCGAATAAATTGCGCATCATTTTCGAATAACCAACATTACTAGCTTCAAAAAGTGTTCTGCGCCAAGTTTCTATGTCGTTCAGTAAACCCATTCTTTTTGCGCAATCTACGAAGGTTTCGCATGGTTCTACGTAATTTGTTGGAGTGCGTAAATTATCCCATCCTGTTGGACCTTTATGACACAGTAAAAGTTGATATATTGCAAATTTTTCTGTTTGATTGGGTGGAACCGGATATAAACGACCTATTACGTTTACCATTCTTTTTCGTTTTGTCCAACGATTCGTTTTTTTGTTAAACCAATAAGTTTCCGGTAATTGACGAAACGTTAAGTTTCGCATTTCGTTTATTTCATGTTGAGATTCTTCTAAACATTGCAAGAAAAACATTTCCAATTGGTACAGTTTGGTATTATTGTCCAAGACTTGTGCGGCAATTATTTCTTCGTTACCACGTCTATAATATAATGGTCCTTCTCCGGGCATATGAATGTTAAGTCGATATACTGTGTGGGATGATCTAATTATTCTCCACTTGTTTAATCTAACGTACGCTTCCGGAGCCGAACGATAATAACCTTTCATTAGTCCTACGGATTCGTCGTAGTCGACAATATCACTATTTGTTTGGGCAATTCGAACATAAGCGTAATTACCCATTTTAAAATTATATTTAATTGCATATTTACAACTTTGAGTTCCGTAACAAAACTCGATGTTATTGTGCGCATGCCATGCCAAAAGATAAGCAGGATTCTAAGGAACAACAGAGGCATTCGTAATTATATTTCCGCCAGGTGTTTTGTAAGTTTCTCCTCCGTTTTCAGGCGATCTTCGCTTGTATATTGCGGGTCTATCTTCGTACGTTATAGTGGAATTTGAAAATTTTTTTGGAAAACCTTTCGAACATTTACCACTATCGTTAAGACAAATAGTATTACAATTGTGAATTTGAAACTTTATCACTAGCTCTCGTAATTTTCTACTCATTTCTGCTTCGTCACTTTTATCGTTTGCGTCGGGTAATTTAGGTATTTCTGCGGATACGTATTCATCTACGTACTCGGGAGAATTTGGACAATCTAAGCTAATTAAGCGATGAGTGTGGGGTCCGCCTCTCTTTTGAAATTCTAAACTTTCGATAAATGCTTTAACTTTACCAAATATATGACCTTTTTCGATAAGCTTTCGCATTTTCTCAATTTTTACTAGAAAGACTCTACATATAATATCAGGGCGATCTGTAATATATTGATTTTTTAATAAATGTTCTTTTACTTCGTTCCACGAGGGGTTGCACGTGGTGGCAATCATAAAGGTCGGACGACCAATGCGGTTAAACAGAGCCGTGGCATCGTGAAAGTGTTGTTGATACCACGCAGGAGAACCTACCATTCTAGGAGATAATCGTAAAACTTTTCCTAATTTTTTTCCTTCGCATAATTTTTGTAAATCTCTATCCAATGCCATGCGTACCTCGGGAGCAGTGGTACAAAATGTATCGTAATTTTTCTTAATAAATTCGTGCACTTGCTGATCGGCTTTGATGCTCTGATCGATAATATATTCTTGTGTGATACTACCGAAGGGATATAAAAAGTGCGTAGCTCCTTTATTATCACCACGAATTGCTAAGTGAAATCTATAAAAATCTCTTACGGATACGTGGTTTTTGTGCTCGACTTCATCTATTTCTTCCTCGTAAACGGCGTTTGGTGAACAACCGAGATCATTTTGTTCAGCTGAAGTAATTGTACGTTGATTTGGCGTATTCCGTTTTTTAACTTTTTCTATACCTGGATAATATCCAAAATCACCGTTCGCCAAGTTTAAAACGTAATGCAGGCAATCGTTTAGTCGATCATAAAGTGGAAAACATATTACTTGCCCATTTTTCTTTTTTAACCAAGTACCATAGCGATATACCGGTTCGTCGTTTTCGTTACTAACATAAAAAGCGCACAATTCTTTTACTTGTGGTAAATTAACTGCACGTGGATGTAAACCGGGATCAATTATTGCGTCAGGAACTTGTCTCGGATTTACCAAGACTAATGTGACATGTTGTACTTCATCAAACCCTTGTCTTTGCACATCGGCCGATGTTTCCATATAGAGTTGGTGCATTATATTAAACGCTTCGCAAAGCGGATGGTGTTTTTGTAATATAGTGAACAATTTTTGTAATATTTCCCGTTTAATGCCGAATTTTGTAGACAGCGGATTTTGAGCTACCGAATCTTGCATCATCATCGGATCAAGCATGTACAATTGACCGTGTACTGGCGTTTTTCCGTCGGGTGCAAACAGGGGACTTATGTTTCGTTTAATTTCGCCATTAATTAGCATAACCGGTGGACCTTGTCCGGGTGCCTTTTTTCGACCCGCTTCTATACTACCAAAACTTAATAGCATGTTATAAATTCGGAAGTACTGTCGAAAATGTTTTCCGTGTACGGGATCGTCCATTAACTTTCGAATATCTTCGGGAACCGGTGAAATTGCAGGTAACATAATAATACCGTGATTACAACATATGGCGCTAGTTTCATCTTTAAACAAAAGTGCCTTGCAATGTTTACATATTTGGTCACCTATTTTTCCACATTCGAGATAGTCGATTGAATGTTTGGCACTTTTTGCAAAACAACCGTAAATACCGTGAGTTCTTTTACAATATTTCATAGGTTTTAGTTTATTTTTATTTGATTTTCTAGATTCACTGTAGCTAATAGTACTTCTTGTAGATCTAGTTGATCTTCTACTATTGGAAGAAGATGTAGATACAGTACTAACGTCGGAATCAGATTCGATAGATGTGCTTTTGCAAATTTCGGCGATTTCGTTATCATTAATTTCAATTTCGTTGAAAAGGCAATCGGATCGGGTTTCGTAGGAAGGTATTTTTTCATTATATAATTCTAGTAACATACCGTTAATTCTTTGGCGTTCTGTCGCGATGTTAAAATCGGACAAAAGCATGCGTTTTTCATTCATCAAATACGTCTCAACATAAATACATACGTAATATCCACAGTTATATGAATCCATTTGTAAATTGTAAGTTTGTTCATTTGCAACTTCAATGTGTATTTCACTGTTTGTAAGAAACGACGAATCCAATATTTGAATTGCATTTTTTATAGAAATAAAATAATTATTATTGTCCTTTAATCTATTGTCATTAGGAAGGGGATCATAGAATATAGTTTTACTTCCTCGTTCGTGAATAATTAGTGCAAAATGTCCGGGAAAGTAAATCGGAATGAATAATACTTCATAATTATGTGGATTTCCCCAAAGTCCTTCTGTAGGGGAAACGTTTGTTATCTTATTATATATAGATACAGTATAATTAATATTAAGTAAAAGAGATTTTGTTCTATTATAGGCTAGGTATGTAACGTACATTAGGTAACCATGTAAATTGTTGATATTCATTTCGGATTTGGGATTTTGATATGATTCGATAAAATCTAATCGAGACAATGTAAAATATTCTTTAGGCAAGGGGTACGTTATGGCGGCTACATTCGGTGGTACATTCAAAGGGCAATCGACGTTTTTGGTAGAAGTAATTTTAAGATTTGCCATTAATTCATCTCCTAAAGCGTCAAAAATTTCAGTCTCAATTTTATTTGCCATTTCAACGTTTGCGGTAACTTTGGGATGACTACTCGGTGGTGACATCATCGATTGCGAAAGAGTCATAATATTGTCATTTATGTCCATAGATTCGTTAAGACAAATTTTTTTTTGAGGTGGTACATTTTTTTCTAAGTTAGAAACTCTGTCTTTTTTTGCATTTTTTAAATTTTTTACAATATCTTTACTTTTTTTTTGTTTCCTACCAAGTTTTTTTGATTGTGATGATTGGATTTTATGACAACTTACTATACCTTCGTATATGGGCACTCTTTCATGACACAATTCCGCTATTATACGATTTATTCTTTGCCGTTCGTTTGCAATATCTAAATTGGTTAGGAACATATGTTTGTCATTCATTAGATAAGATTCGACGTATAAAGAAACGTAATATCCACAATTGTAGTTGTCGTCTTTGTCGACGCTCTGTAAATTATAAGTATTTGTATTAGCAATTTCGACATGTATGTCATTATTCGAAATGATAGACGAATCAAATTCTCTAATTGCACTTTTTATATGAGTAAAATAATCAGCGTAGTTTTTATTTAATAATCTGTTACCCTCCGGTAAAGGGTCATAAAAGATAGTTTTACCTCCTTTTTCGTGAATAATTAAGGCAAAATGTCTTGGAAAATAAATCGGAACGAACAACACTTCATAATTATCAGGATTGCCCCAAGCACCATCTCTTGGTGAAGTAGGCGTTTTATTGAAAATGGCTACTGTATAGTTTATGTTAATTAGACATACTTTTCGCTTATTTTGTGTAATATAAGCTATATACATTAAATATCCAAATAAATTATTGACATTTATTTCCGATCTAGGGTTATTGTAAGCTTCCAAAAAATCAAAACTGGAAAGTAAATAAAATTGTTCGTGTACATAATGAGACGTAATATCATTGATAGTATTTGGAATTTTTAGATTAACGTTTTTTGTCGAGATTTGTAAATTCGGTATCAATATATTACTTAAAATATTAATTTTTTGTTTAGTTGTTCTATCATTTATATTAGAATTTTGGGCATTCATATTTTCAATACTTACATCACTCTGTGATACATGTACCTTTTTTTGCGGTGGGCTGCTTAACTTACACTCCACATCATCTTTCAGTTTTGAATTTATGGGCCGAATATCATTAGAAATTGTACTATGGGCGGATCTTTTTTGTGTTTTTGTTTGACTCTAAAATAAGTACAAAAATTAGAAAAAAAATTAAGAATATTAAACAAACATTAGAGGGTGAATTTTTTTTTTCATTTTCACTATAAGATAAAATAAAAATAAATCAATTCAACTTTCAAATCGTCCAGTTAAAATTAATGTGTGAGTAGTGAATATTATAGAATACAGCACACTAAATTACTCTATTAGTTTATCACTACATGTTAGTATCCTAATATCTTCGGGGTTTAAGAAACCTACCTGTTAATTTGTTTTATTTTGATGTAGAATATCTAGATTAATGTTATTGTTGTGATTATAATTTTTCTTGAAAAATTTGTTTGTATTAGGGTACTAATACGTTATAACATCAAAAAAAGAAAAAAAATCTCTATCAAATGAGCTTAATGAAACAGTGTACTGTCATTTTGCAAAGTTCAATTGTATGTCGTTACTCATTTGTTTTCTGAAATAAAAACAATTGAATGCTGGCTTATTATGGGAAGTAAAACGTAAAAAAAATAGAAAAATTTTGTATACATTCAATATTTATCGAGATCTACACTTACTGTATTCCATACATAATGGGTAACCTGTATGTTAACTGTGCAAAGTTTGAACCAAATCGGTCCCAGGAGTTTAATTATCGTGTTCACAAACGTACATTATTGACTCCAACCCTATAAAGTTTTCAGCACTTTACCCTACCACAAAATCAAACTCAAATTTAAGCGTTTGCAGTTCCGCGTTGCCGAGTGAGTCACGAAACAACAAAAACGAAAGTGTACGTCAAGCTGACACAATTATTAAATATGTCGAGACGTTGATTTGCCTAAACGATGATTTCTGGTGGAAGTTGGTAATAAATGGTACCACAAATTTGGAGTATAATATCACAATCTAACATGTCGTGTTAACAAAACCGTTTACCATGTCAGTTAGCAGTTATATTAGTTGAACAGTGCACAATTTTGCTCTAAGAATTTTTTATGTATCTTTTATGGTAAAGGAGTTATAATCTAAGGCATCTTAGATGCTACACCTTGTATAATTAATGATATAATTGTATTACAATAAAGCCTTTGAGAGCACTTCGTCTCTTACAATTTTTAGCCGCTCTTTGCTTCGGTCACCTGCCTGCATGATTTTCATGCATCACTTTAAGCTTGGTTCACATTATCGAACCGAGTTACAACTCGAACTTTAAACTGAGCCGTAAGCCGAGCATAATCGTAAACATGTACATAATTTTGTATCGAGTTGAATCTCGTGAAATAAAAAAAATCGTCACGATCCACGTATTTGAATAAACGTGGGATTTGGCTGGAGGTTCAGTTCAATAATGTGGACCCCGCTTCATATACAGAAATGGTCCCGGTTACATACAAAATCTTCTATAAATATGGTGAGGATTCGACAGTGTATCGAATCTTATGTCCGTATATGTGAAAATGCTTATTGTTGTAATATTAAAACTTACCAGGCTCTTTGTATCAAGTTGAACACCAGGTAATTGATTTTGATCATTGGGCTTGTATTCTTTGGGCTTGTTCCCTTCTAATTCTAAAACGTAATGTGAAACTTATTTTATTTTGGCGATATTTCGATTTACCTTTCTTTTCCTTATTTTGTCGGACTATTCCCTTAAAAACCTTGCGTTTCGGTGGCATATTACAAAAAAGTGTAATTAATAAGAAATATCTTTATAATTAAACTAAAAATGTTTATAGCGTTTTGGATGGCTATCGTTATAAATACCAAAACACAATGATTGCGTTTCGAGTGTTTCGACTTTCGACGAAACGAAATATGGGTGTGGTCGATATCGACTTTTAGTTCGACCTATCTAAAGGCGCGTTTACATATTTTGGTTTGTTTACACGTTGTGAACTTAAATTGAAAGAAGAGTACGATTATACGAATATTATTCGTATACAATTAGAGCCTACTGTAACTACGAACCGTTGTATGCGATTGAAATCAGTATATTGACATCACGAAAGTAGCCGGTTACTTTCTGTGGTGCTATACAGTGCGAACACTGCTTTACTATGCCGCTTCAATAAATAATGACGTTAGTAATTATTTGCCGCAACAGGCGCGGGGCACCAATACTAATTTATAACCTTAAACTTCAAAACAAACATTTGACATATGATTACATTTAACCTAAATAAAGATTTAATCACCTTGCAAGTTTCCGAATGATGTGAAATTATACGAATAGGAAATTGCTACAACAATTGAAACAATTTTATTTCTTTTACAAATCGTTAATATTGAAGTAATTGGATAAATTACATGCACATTATAACAACTGTTCGAAAAGCTCGCCACCATTATTAAGACAGGGGTCCACTCTTTTCTTCGTTTTCGAAGCCGGCATGTAAGTGCCGTTGCGTAATGCTTGAAACGGTAGCTTCTATACCTGCTCGTAATTCGGCAATGGTGTGTAAACGGTTTCGAATACGTTGACATCTCGTAAATTTGCATGCAATATTTTAGAGGACTTTGCAAGTCCGGACGATGAGTTCTTGTAACACGGTTACTTTAAAGGATAGAAGTACAATTTTCTCCATGCAATAGTGTCCTACGTTTCGTATGAGATACCCGTTAGTGGGACAAATTATCGCAGTTGCTTTTTTCGACTTTGCTCAAGACGAGCAAGAACATCTTTTACAACCGCCTTATTAGCAATCGCTAAGCGGCCAGGTAACTTCCCAGAAGCAGAAGCGAAACCGTTCAAGTAAACGACGAGCATTTTTATATATATATATATTTTTATAATGTACACATGTTAAGGGGTGTTTTTTTAAGACGAGCCATACGACAATGTAAAGGCGTCGAGTTATTTAAAATGGGCCATAGGGAAATTTACATTGCATCATTAGTTACGGTACCTAATCCTTTCTTGCTTCCTCGCAAACTATCTGTCACAGTACTGTAGAAAATGTTTCTGAATCAACAAATTTATTCAAATCAGATATAAACGTATAAGATTGTACTTGGTGTTCGAATTGTTTTTCACCGGCAATCAAGCAGTACCCGATACTCGGCACTGAATATCTTAAATACTCACTTTTGTAGAAATTATATAACATGAATACTTTTTCGAACAGCAAATACATTTTTCTGCTTTGTTGATGCAGTTTGAAGGATTGAGATAGAGAACTGTTAGTGAAATGACTAAGCGTAAGGTCAAAATTTGAGAACAATTGGCGCAATGTAAATTTCTCTATGGCTCATCTTTAAAAAAACACCCTGTATAAGGTACAAACGATTGAAAATTATTACAATGAAGAGATGTTGGTCTTAAAAGTTTTCAAATTTGATTCCAAATATTAGAATCTACGTTATAATTATCAACCTTTTGAATAGCGTAAATCCTTCAAAAAAACTATTTTGTTTGTTTTAATAAAATTAATGAGAAATTGAGATAAGTAAGATAAATACAAAACGCAAGGATAGATTTGATATTATGGATGTTAATTCAGATACAGTAATTATGAATGAATGCAAATGGTCGTTTGTTATAGGTTTAGAGAATTTGGTCAATAAAAAATGTTCGAATTTTTTGGGAGGAGTGGTGTGATGTGAACAAATAATATATATTAATTACCTGACCCCGCGACTCCACATCATCGGATTCCGTCTAAAAATAAGATGAAAACGGTATAGGTAATTTTATAAATATATAGCTACAGTAGACCTTCGCCAATTTGAACAGGATGAAAGTGTATTATAGGTACGTTATTTTGTAAGTAAAGAATAATTCGAACAACAGTGTCCGTATTGTATAATTTTTTCATCAAAATGTGATTACATGATGGGCATTTTGATATTGATGATATGCATTGTTTAGATTTAGAACAATTGTTGTGTTTTGTTTATTCTATTTTGTATCATTTGTAATTACAATTATTTTTCTTAATAAATAATTCAGAATAAAATTTTATTATTATTTTTGTTAATTCGAAAAATTTATTCACTCAAATAATCTCACATCCGGATTAGGTCGGATCGGCAAGTTTCTATTGTAGGTACCTATTGGTGTATGATAAAATGTTTTGCGTGTAAAAATGAAATCATGAAAGATATACTATACAAGTTGTATGTTGAAATTTGATGTCGTATTCTTTATGATTGTCAATAAATATTTATACTTAAGAAATATAATATACAACTTGTTGAAAAGATCAAAATGAAATGAAATTAAAAAAATTGTAGAATTTTAAATTTGTATTGTAAATTTGTTGAATCTTGTAAATTAAAAAAAGTGTATGTAAAAAGTTTAAAAATGTTTTTATTTTTTTAATTTACTTAATTCAATTAATAATGAAATTAGATTTTTTTTTTATATAGATTTGGCTTCAACTGTTTTGTCTTTTTGCTATTCGTAGGTTCTATACTTAGATATTATTTACTTACTCGTTCGGATTGGTCTAGACTTTGAGGTTCTATAAAAAATTAAAGTATTAATTTTATTGAACTTTAGAAATGAATCAATTATGCTTACCATTAACTTGTTGTTCTTCCACCTAAAAATTAAATGGAAATAGTATATTATTATAAATATATAACATTGTGTTTATGTGTATGTGTAAAATAAAAGTTGCATGACAAAGAATTAAAATTGGAAAAATGAAAGCATCGAAAATTTTTTGTTTCTAATTTCTCATGTTGAGAGTTGAAGTTTTATAAATTAAGTGAAATACTAATACTGGGTATGAAGATCTTAGAATATGTATAACTTTAAATTTGTATTGTTTTATAGAATTAATTGGCAATGTGGCATTTTCTGAATATTGTCACATATTTTATATTTATATAAACAATGTGGTTGAAGTGAAATTGGTATTATTGTTAATTGTGTCATTGCAGTTCAATTAAAAAATATAAAAGTTGTGTATTGCGATATTAAGATATATGATAAAAGTAACTTTTTTATGGAACATCCTGTGTATGCGTATGTATTTTATAAAAAACAAATTAAATAATGGTCAACACTAATTACCAATATTATGAAATTAAGGACATTACAATCAATTAAAGTTTTCTATTTGTATAAAATGGTGACAGTTGATATTTTAATGATAAGAAGAAATATGTTAAAAAGTTTAAAATATTTGACATAAATTACTGTGGTTGTAATAATAAAGGAGTTACAAGTTGTAAAAATTTTTGTTTTAAATTTTATGATTCTCAATTTGTAAAGGTTAAGTCTAGTTTTATACTTTTTGGTATATTTTACGTGTTTAAGTATTACCAGTTTGTCTTTGGAATAAATTTAATATTTTAAATATCATTTATTGGTAGTTAGGTGTTGATTTCACTATACAGGGTGATTCAAATAGTACCTGCCACCGTTTGGGAGCGTGTAGGTGGTGCGTAGGGGAGTATTTTGATATAGGACACTTGGGGTCGGAAATCTAAAATAAGGGTGCCAGAGCCAAATTTACCTTCTGGAATTTCGCGCCTGTAGGTAGGCAACCCAACCGGCCGGCGGTCACGCAGTATAAACAAATAATTATACAGGCGTTAGTAAAGCTAGGAAAAGTGAGAGAAAGTACAATATAAGTGTCTAAAGTGTGGTGAAGTGACCAACACAAAAAAAAATAGACTAACTGGATGAACTGTAAGTACCTAATATAAATTTAAGTACCTATAACCTATACGTACATACAACATAACAAGCGCGTTAAATAGTCGACCGGCTATCAGCTGACAGATAAGAGTTGTTTATTTACGTACGCGTATCTATATCGAATTCAAGAATGGAAAACTTGCTAGCGGATATCAAAAAGCAACTGGAAGATTTAAATAGAACGTCGGAACGAATCGAAAGCAAAATTGATGACTGCCAGAAGCAGATAAACGAAATTAAAAATGAGAATGCTAATTTGAAAGCGGAAAACGAGCAGTTGAAATCAACGGTCGCACAACAAAACTATAGAATTGGATATCTGGAAAAAGAGATCAAAAGAAATAACCTGGTAATTCAAGGTGTAACGGAGGCAGACGACGAAACGAATATACAACTAAAGGAAAAAATGGAAACCATACTAAGAGACATGGGAACTCCGATAACTTTCGAAGCCGAAATCCAAGAACTGCATCGTATAGGAATAAAACACGCAAACAAAACACGACCCATATTCATGAAAATGCGAAACTATGAAACTAAAGTAAAGGTAATGAAAAGCACAAAAGAATTAAAAGGTACACAAATCTATATAACAGAAGATTTTCCAAAACATGTTATGGAGGAACGAAAAGTATTGAGCAAGCACTTAAAAAAGGCAAGAGAAATGAGACATAGAGCTTTCATGAAGTACAACAAACTAATCGTAAACGGAGAAGAATACGGAGTAGAAGATATCTTTGAAGAATCAAGCAATGAAATACCTGAACAAGATGCCACGAAGAAAGGAAGAACGATCAGTCAAAGGTCCCCTCAGAGCGTGGTTTCTAAGAGGACGAATAGCATGGGTTGTCTACTAAAAAACTGATACATAACGAGCAACACAGTACAAAGGAGACGACACTGGCAATGAATAAAGGTAACGAGATGGAACAAATAAATCTATGGAAATTCGGAACATGGAATATACGAAGCATAAACGGAAAAGAGGAAGAGTTGATGAGAGAATTTAAACAAGAGAAACTAGATATTATAGCAATATGCGAAACAAAGAAGAAAGGACGAGGAGCCATTGAGATGGATGAGGGAGATGTACTCCTATATAGCGGCGTATGCGAGGAAACGAGAGCAAGAGGGGGGGTAGCATGTATAGTAAGTGCACGGCATGCAAATAAACTAATCCAATGGGAATTTATTAATGAAAGGATGCTAAAACTACAAATAAAATTACATCAAAAGGACCACACAACAATATTAATAGCATATGGACCAAATGAAGACGAAAGCGAAGGTAAAAAGGATGAATTCTGGGAAGCACTCTCGGAAAATACGGAAAATATTGCAGAGAGGCTTATAATCATGGGAGATCTGAACAGCAGAGTGGGAAAAAAGATGGAGGGAACACCAGATGTAATCGGCCCTTATGGCGAAGTACACCGAAATAAAAATGGAGATAGATTAATTAACTTTTGCGTAGAAAATAACCTAATAATAGCAAACACATACTACAAACACAAAGACATACACATGTACACAAGAGAGGCGCAAACTAGGGGAGAGAAGTCAATAATAGACTATGTGCTAATAAAAAGAGAATATAGGCACGAAGTAATAGACGTGAGAGTGAAAAGGGGCCCAGACATCTATAGCGACCACTATCTAGTAGAGGCAAAGCTACGAGTCAGAAACCAGATGCAAATAAAGCAAAAACATAGACCACATCCGCAACTGGTACATGAGAAGATAAGAACGTATAAATTAATGGATGACGAAACTGGAAACATATATACAGAAAAAATAGAAAAACATTTACTAGAAACTAGGCATGAGTGGCGAAACATGGAACTAAAACATATATGGAAATATTTTAAAGAGATAATACTATCGACAGCAGAGGAAACATGTGGATCAATAAGGATAAGAAAAAATAAAAAACAAACAAGCTGGTGGAATCAATCTATACGAGAAGAGGTAAGGAGCAAGAAAGAAAAGTGGAAACAATATCTGATACGAAAGACGGAGGAAAGCTATAGCAAATACAAGCAACAACGAGTAAACGTAAAAAACATGATAATAGAGGCAAAACGACAAGCCTGGATGGAGTTCGGTAATAAAATGGAAAAAGACAGTAAAACCAACCAAAAACTCTTCTATAGGGTATTAAAAAGTATGAAGAAACCTAGGGAATACAAAACCATGCACTTAAAGGACAAAAACCACAAAATAATCACAGACCAGGGAGAAGTAATGGAAAGATGGAGGGAATACTTCCAAGAACTACTTAGCAATAACAGACAACAAGACACTACAAATAAACATGTAAGAAATGAGGCAGTAATAGAAGAAGAGGCGGATGCCATAACAATGGAAGAGGTTATACAGAGAGTAAAAGCGCAGAAAAAAGGGAAAGCAGCAGGACATGACAAGATAGCACCGGAAATGATACAAAAATTAGGAAAAAACGGAATAGAAATGCTCACCACAATTTTAAATAAAGCTTGGCAAAGAGGAGAAGTGCCAGAGGATTGGAGAATAGGAGTGATAATCCCGATACACAAAAAAGGAGACACAAAGGATTGCTCAAACTACAGAGGCATAACCATCTTAAGTAACGTCGCAAAAATATATGAAGGGGTCCTAGAGAACAGATTGAAGCAGCAAATCGAACACCAACTAGACAATGCACAAAGCGGTTTTAGGAAAGGCAGAGGTATACAAGATCATATATTCACCATCAAACAGATAATGGAAAAAATTATGGAATACAACAAACAAATATGCTTAGCATTCGTGGACCTGGAAAAAGCTTTCGATAGAGTTCCGCAAAGATTAGTGTGGGAAAGTTTAGAAAGAAGAGGAGTTAATGCAAAGTTAAGAAGGGGAATAAGAAGCCTGTATACAGAGAATAGGAATTATGTACGTAAAAACAACACACAATCAAAAACTTTTAACGTGGAAGACGGTCTGCGACAAGGAGGCGTGCTTAGCCCAACACTATTTATAATAATAATGGATGACGTTATTAAAGAGGTGCGTAAAACAGTAAAGAAAGTGCAGGTAGGGTATAATAAACTACAACCGGTAGAAATAAGTGAATGTGTGTTCGCGGACGATTTAATGATATGCGCGAAAAGTGAACGGGACTTGCAAATGAACTTAGGGGCATGGAAAGAAGAACTGGAGAAGAGGAACATGAGAATCAATTGTAACAAAACGAAAGTCATGGTAATTGGAAAGGAGAACAGAAGCATGGACATAGAAATTGGGTCAGACAAAATTGAACAGGTGGACGTATATAAATACCTGGGAGTACTGATACATAGAGACGGCAGCATGGATGCAGAAGTGCAGGACAGAATTAGCAGTGCAGCAAGATTATATCACGCGCTAAGGAACAAATTCATCTCAAAAAGGGAAGTCAGTGACAAAACTAAAATGACAGTGTATAAAACAATATATCGGCCAATACTAACATTCGGGAGTGAAACGTGGAACATAACAAGCGCAATAAAAAGTAAAGTGCAAGTAATGGAGATGAAGTTTTTAAGAAGGATAAAAGGAATAACAAGATACGACAGAATAAGGAATGACACAATCAGAGAGGAACTAGGAGTGGAAACGGTAATCCAGACAATAGAAACACAGCAACTAAGATGGTTCGGTCACTTAAACCGGATGGACGACAACATTCCAGTCAAACGTATATGGGAAGCCAAAGGCCAGGGCAGAAGGGGAAGGGGACGACCAAAGAGAACGTGGAACCAACAAGTGGAAGCAGTTTTGGATACAAGAGGAAAAACATGGATGGAGGCAAAAACGCTGTCCAGGAACAAGACACTGTGGAAAATGCTTTTGAAAGAAAGGTATCCCCAACCACAGGAATAGATCTAACTTTACAATGTATCAAATAAGTATTGTAATTATGAACACCTCACACTCCAGGGTAAGAGGTTTTTTTGATTATATATATATATATAATTAGCATAACCGGTGGACCTTGTCCGGGTGCCTTTTTTCGGCCCGCTTCTATACTACCAAAACTTAATAGCATGTTATAAATTCGGAAGTACTGTCGAAAATGTTTTCCATGTACGGGATCATCGATTAACTTTTGAATATCTTCGGGAACCGGTGAAATTGCAGGTAACATAATAATACCGTGATTACAACATATGGCGCTAGTTTCATCTTTAAACAAAAGTGCCTTGCAATGTTTACATATTTGGTCACCTATTTTTCCACATTCGAGATAGTCGATTGAATGTTTGGCACTTTTTGCAAAACAACCGTAAATACCGTGAGTTCTTTTACAATATTTTATAGGTTTTAGTTTATTTTTATTTGATTTTCTAGATGCACTGTAGTTAATCGTGCTTCTTGTGGATCTCGTTGATCTTCTACTATTAGAAGAAGATGTAGATACAATACCAACGTCGGAATCAGATTCGATAGGTGTGCCTTCACAAATTTCGACGATTTCGTTATCATTAATTTCAATTTCGTTGAAAAGGCAATCAGATCGGGTTTCGTAGGAAGGTATTTTCTCATTATATAATTCTAGTAACATACCGTTAATTCTTTGGCGTTCTGTCGCGATGTTAAAATCGGACAAAAGCATGCGTTTTTCATTCATCAAATACGTATCAACATAAATACATACATAATATCCACAGTTATATGAATCCGTTTGTAAATTGTAAGTTTGTTCATTTGCAACTTCAATGTGTATTGTAAGAAACGACGAATCCAATACTTGAATTGCGTTTTTTATAGAAATAAAATAATTACTATTGTCCTTTAATCTATTGTGATTAGGAATGGGATCATAGAACATAGTTTTGCCTCTTCGTTCATGAATAATTAGTGCAAAATGTCCGGGAAAGTAAATCGGAATGAATAATACTTCATAATTATGTGGATTTCCCCAAAGTCCTTCTGTAGGGGAAACGTTTGTTATCTTATTATATATAGATACAGTATAATTAATATTAAGTAAAAGAGATTTTGTTCTATTATAGGCTAGGTATGTAACGTACATTAGGTAACCATGTAAATTGTTGATATTCATTTCGGATTTGGGATTTTGATATGATTCGATAAAATCTAATCGAGACAATGTATAATATTCTTTAGGCAAGGGGTACGTTATGGCGGCTACATTCGGTGGTACATTCAAAGGGCAATCGACGTTTTTGGTTGAAGTAATTTTAAGATTCGCCATTAATTCATCTCCTAAAGCGTCAAAAATTTCAGTTTCAATTTTATTTGCGATTTCAACGTTTGCAGTAACTTTGTGATGACTACTCGGTGGTGGCATCATCGATTGCGAAAGAGTCATAATATTGTCGTTTATTTCCATAGATTCGTTAAGACAAATTTTTTTTTGAGGTGGTACATTTTTTTCTAAGTTAGAAACGTTGTCTTTTTTGCATCTTTTAAAATTTCTACAATACTTTTAGCTTTTTTTTTTCTCCTGCTAAGTTTCTTTGATTGTGATGATTAGATTTTATGACAACTTGCTATAGTTTCGTATATGGGCACTCTTTCATGACACAATTCCATTATTATACGATTTATTCTTTGACGTTCGTTTGCAATATTTAAATTGGCTAGGAACATATGTTTGTCATTCATGAGATAAGATTCCACGTATAAAGATACGTAATATCCACAATTGTAATTGTCGTTTTTGTCGACGCTTTGTAAGTTATAAGTATTCATATTAGCAACTTCGACATGTATGTCATTATTCGAAATGATAGAGGAATCGAATTCTCTAATGCACTTTTTATACGAGTAAAATAATCAACGTAGTTTTTATTTAATAGTCTGTTACTCTCTGGTAAAGGGTCATAAAAGATAGTTTTACCTCCTTTTTCGTGAACAATTAAGGCAAAATGTCTTGGAAAATAAATCGGAACGAACAACACTTCATAATAATCCGGATTGCCCCAAGCACCATCTCTTGGTGAAGTAGGCGTTTTATTGAAAATGGCTACTGTATAGTTTATGTTAATTAGACATACTTTTCGCTTATTTTGTGTAATATAAGCTATATACATTAAATATCCAAATAAATTATTGACGTTTATTTCCGATCTAGGATTATTGTAAGCTTCCATAAAATCAAAACTGGAAAGTAAATAAAATTCTTCGTGCACATAATGAGACGTAATATCTTTGATAGTATTTGGAATTTTTAGATTAATGTTTTTTGTTGATATTTGCAAATTAGGTATCAATATATTACTTAAAATATTAATTTTTTGTTTATATTAGATTTTTGTGCATTCATATTTTCAATACTTACATCATCATCTAATACATATAGCTTTTTTTGCGGCGGGCTACTTAATTCATGTTCCACATCATCTTTTAGTTTCGAATTTATCGGCTGAATATCATTACGTATTGTATTATGGGCGGATCTTTTCTGTTAATTTGTTTGACTCTAAAATAAATAGAAAAATTAGAGAAAAAACTTAAAATATGAAACAAACATTAGAGGGTGAATTTTTTTTCATTTTCACTATAAGATAAAATAAAAATAAATCAATTCAATTTTCACGTCGTCCAGTTACAATTAATGTGTGAGTAGTGAATATTATAGAACACAGCAAACTAAATTACTCTATTAGTTTGTCACTACATGTTAGTATCCTAATGTCTTCAGGGTTTAATAAGAATCGTACCTGTTAATTTGTTTTATTTTGATATAGAATATCTAGATTAATGTTATTGATGTGATTATAATTTTTCTTGAAACATTTTTTTGTATTAGGGTGCTATGCTAATACGTTATATCATCGAAAAAAGAAAATAAATCTCTATCAAATGAGCTTAATGAAATAGTGTACTGTCATTTTACAAAGTTCATTTGTATTTCGTTACTCATTTGTTTTTTGAAATAAAAACAATTGAATGCGGCTTATTATGGGAAATAAAACGTAAAAAAATAGTGAAATTTTGTATACATTCGATATTTAATGAGATATACAGGGTCATTCTTGACGAGCGTCAGTTAGAAAGATATGGAAAACCTTTGAAAAGTAAGCTGAACTGATAAGTCCTTTAAAGGTTTTGGCACATGATGAATTGAACTAAAATATTTTCAAAATGGCGCCACTTCCGGAAATACCGGAAGAAGCCATCAACCTTGTTATTTTAAATAGGGACCCCCTATTTTTTCTACATTTTCGGATTCTACGTAGAATTTGGAGTACAACGATACCCCATAGTTGACCCTTTGCTCCAAGGGCTTCGCCGATATTCAAATTTTTGTGTCAAAAATTGAATTTGCAGGGGCAACTTTAAAAATTTATTATTCGAAAACGGTGAGAGATATTGCAAAACAGTTTTCAATGCTTTATTAAGGAAAGATCAAATTTTCTTATGGTATGCGTAACCGTTTAAAAAAGTGAGACTACGTCACTTTTTCAAAGCTCTCAACTTTTAAACTTTTAAACATCCGTAACTCCATTTTTTCAAATGGCACCCCCCATTATGTTCTTCACCCTTGTTTGCCTTTTTCCCAGACCTTTAATTTGATGCAAAATTTCAAAAGCTGCTTCAAACGGTTTCCGAGATATTCCATGTTTTAGTTACTTCTTGTGGAAAGTTGATAAAAAAATTAAATCGCTTGATGTTATTCTTTTGTTTTTATTATGATATGTTTATTTGTTTAAACGTCAAATTTTCGCTGCTTTTCCTGGCAGCTATTCGATTACATTCACCGTGTATTAATATTAAATTCAAAAAATCTTCATTAGTGTAACCCAAACGAGCCATTATTGACGAGAAGTATAAGTTTATATATAAGTTTAAAACTCATCCATGCGCGTGGCCCACCCCTTCGCCCACAGGCTGACGCCCGGCGGCTACTGAAAACGCGGTCGAAATATTTCAGGTCTTATACGTATAATGTCGGAGACTGATCGCATACGAATAGGGAATAGATACGGGCAAGTATTTATATATATATATATATATATCCGTTAGATTTTTTTTCGTTCGTTCGTTCGTTCGTTTCGCAACCCGTTTGTTATCGATGAGGGAAGGATACAATTTGGACTATTCGCGACGTCGGCGCCGGGTGACGTCGCAAGGCGTCGCCAAAATGCGAATCTCGGTAACGGAAAGTCGTACGAAGGCGTGTGAGGTATCGTCGGAAAGGTCTCGGCTGCGCGATTACGATAGGTTAGGTTAAGCGTGTCTTCCCATTTCCTCCGGTATCCCTGTAGTCAGGGGTGCCGGAGGAATGAAACACGTTGGCCTTTTTCCTTTTTTTTTCATTTCACAATAATATACGCTTATTTATACATTCCTGTAAAGAAAAGTTATTGAACTTAAATTATCAATATATCCTACATTACTAAAAAAAAAACTAATAATACAGTAAAAAAAATTTTTACCCGCACTAGGTAGTCCTATTACACATATACAATTCATTTTAGGTATTTCTATTTAAAATACTAACAAGAATAAAAAAATTATAAATTATGCAAAATACATACCGATTCATCAACAGGAAAGTAATAATCTTCTATCATACCCAGAGGAGTTGCAAATTGAGGATTACTTTCATTTTCATTATGTATATACAGGCTTTACACCCCTCCAAAATGTCAAATGTAAAATTTCAACCCCCTACGGCAACGCATAAGGGTAGTTGTATAGGGGTGGGGGGTTGAAAAAATAATTTTTGCAAAGAGCGTCATAACTTTTTTTACATCATCTTGTACACGTGTGCAAAATTTCCGGTTCCTACGAGTATTTTTTTATTTTTCCCAAGAGGGAACTTTGAAATAATCTTTTGCGGGAAGTTTCAACTAGATGTGGGGTCTCGAGTACTTCCAGTCTGCATTAAGCGCCCCGCTTAACAACTCGATGCTAAAAAGGGAGATACATATTTATCATTAAAAAAAATGGGAATGTCGGCGTTGTCTACATGCCCGCTATACGGTACCGTATAAAGCGGGGATTGTAGGAGTGCCCGTATTGATATATGGATAGAAGCGGTAAATGCAGTTAGGTTATCATCATCCCAAGAACCCCTTTACGGCAGCACGCATTCGTGGCATTCACACTCGTCTTAACACGGTGACCATTGGTCTCCGTCCCACACCGGGATAGGCTCGTGCAATGTCGCGAAGAAACCGCTCGAAACGTGCACTTGGGCCGATTACTCCATCTAACACGTTTCTTCTGTACATCCACTCCCCGATATACGCGTCTCAGAGGTCCAAGGTGTTCAGTGTTCGGAGCTGTTCTTTCAGGTCTCGCCACGATCTCTCCGTTCAGTTGGTGTGGATCCTGAAAGGAGAAACATTAGGTTGAGGAGGTAGTCCGATGTGGAACCTTCCTTCAGGAACCCAAATCGGATCTTCGTCCCTCGGTGGGTTAACGAAGTGGACACTGTGGTTAACCGTGCCGTGACCTGCAAAAACATCATCGACTCGCCTATAAGCCGCCCATTGATCGCAGCATATGTACGAGTCGCTACCAATGTACTGTTGCATAACTGCAAGCAATGTGTCCTGGTCACGATAATCAACCAAGACACCAAACCTTTGGTTCGTTGTTCGGGTATTCCTCCAAACAACCAGATGTGCCTGTACATCATCTGCAGACCGACGTGGTACTTCCTCTTTAAAAGATGTGTCTCGTCGAAATCCACCACATCCGTAGGGCCCGCAATCTGATGGTAGTCGTGAGTAAAGGAGCTGCACGGGTTCGAGCCCACTTTTGGTCGAAATTACATGTAATTTCCCATAAGGAATTCTAAGGTTCATTTGGGTGTTTTTGGAGCAGTTTGGATGTGCGCATGCGCGCCCCGCCCCTTTGCGCAGGCGTCTGCGCAGGCGTCATTTGGACGCCATCTTGGAATCCTCAAGTTCTTGGAATCCTCAAGTTCTTGGAATCCTCAAGTTCTTGGAATCCTCAAGTTCTTGGAATCCTCAAGTTCTTGGAATCCTCAAGTTCTTGGACGCCATCTTGGAATCCTCAAACTTCGACCCCTTCGTACCCTGAAAAATTTGTTAAATGGAACGGATTCGAACCGCCAACCATTGGATTACAAGTCCTATAGCATAACCACTGAGCTAATTAGACTTGTATGATATAATGCTTGGATAGTTGTATTTATATCGAACCTCCTGAAAATTTTTTTAAATGGAACGGATTCGAACCGCCAACCATCGGATTACAAGTCCTATAGCATAACCACTAGGCTAACTAGACTTGTATGATATAATGCTTCGATAGTTGTATTTATAACGAACCTCTAAATATTATTAAATCATAGATATATTAAATGGTACGGAGGTGCCATCTATTGGCGTCGTAATGCATATAGAGGTATATTTTCAATCGACTCCCTCTATTAGATTGATGTGACATATAGGTATAGGGTAGGAAATTGTAATTTCAGGAGACAGGTGCGAGGACCCTCATTCTAACCTATAATTCCATCTCGGAGGTAGGTTCCCTATAACTAGAACAGGAGTGGGCAGGGAAAAAACCCGATAGGGGCTAGGGGCTATTTGGTGGCGTCAAAATGATACGCATCTAACGTATAGGAAACTGCAATTTTGACTTCTTGCGTTAGAAATTTACGAATAAAGTCGGCCGTGTATACATTTGTACAATAGCAAACATGTGAACTATCCAGTGGTTCAGGAGAGAGATGCAAGGGAGGAGAATTCTAACCTATCATTCCATCTCGGAGGTAGCTCCCCCATTTGAGAGACATACACAAGGGGGCCCCATTCTAACCTACAACCAGAACAGGGGCGGGGAGGGAAATAAAACAACAAAAACAAAATGTAGAGCGTTTTTATTTAGAGCTGAAATAGCGATTTGATACGGAGGCGCCATCTATTGGCGTCGTAATGCATATAGAGGTATATTTTCATCCGACTCCCTCTATTAGATTGATGCGACTAGGGTAGGAAATTGTAATTTCAGGAGACAGGTGCGAGGACCCTCATTCTTACCTATAATTCCATATCGGAGGTAGGTTCCCTATAACCAGAACAGGAGTGGGCAGGGAAAAAACAACAAACAAAATGTAGGGTGTTTTTATTTACAGCGGAAATAGTGATTTGAAGTTTATTATTACAATTAAAGCGCTTACTCTACTTACATAAAATTTGCGTCGAAGAGAGCCTCGACGTCAGCAACGCCCATTTTAATGACAGCATTGTTATTCATAATTGGAAATCCCCCGCTCCGTTCTACACATAGGTATATATAATTAAAACGTAATACATGGTGGTTTTATACCTCGCTGGGTTTATCCCGCCGAAAATAATAGTAGTTTCTTGTTCTACAAATATACGGTTAAAACGTATAGTTTACCTCGACTCCTCGCAAAAATGATTGCACATTTCTCGATCTAAAATAATAACTATTAAGTTGCGAAAGCAATAAGAGAACAGAGTTCGCAGATGTCATTAAAGCAATAAGAGAACAGAGTTCGCAGATGTCATTATTCTAATAATTGGTATGGAAAGTTTCAATCTTGCGATAGTGTTTATTTATAGCAGCGCGTGCTCGCGAATTTGATATGGTACTTTATCCCATTTCATTTCCACATCGACACCTATATACGGGTTTTATTGTGTATGAATGCGTAAAGTTCGAAAATCTCCCATAAAAACGGCGTGCATCCGCAATCCGATTTCAAAAAGTGCATGTGGGTATACACCTACTTAGACAGGCGCCTTCTTATATACCTCAGGTAAGCCTTTTTTCAATTTTTAGTTGCTTATAATTTACTTTTCTTAGGGATACGTGTCCTTGCGCGCATAATTTGCAGTTTAATGAAAGCGTGACATTTTATTGTATTTATTCAGCGATTATTTTATATGGGCGTTTATAAGTAATAAGCTGACAGCAGAAAACATAGTCTACATCAGAGTTGGACCGTAAGTATCAAAATTATTTTGTAATAAAAGCCTACATTGATATCTTTTTTAGACGATATCAAACTCCAATGGAGGATTGACTTCATCATCATGGTTATTGGTTAAACGGCGTGCGGATTTATTATTATTATTAATATCTATACTTCACATTTATTGATCAGGAGTAGAGAATAATACAGTTGTGATAAATAAATGCGATAACATTGTGAAATATTATGTATTACATCAATTTGTTTGGTATTCAGTTAAATCAATTTTTCTCGGATCTACATTTATATAACGATAATATTGATTATAAGGTGAGCTTCTTAATTTAATATCTATAACACTTGTTTTACGGAAGAAATGATAACACCCTAATCACTACATCTTATTATTTTAGGTAAGGGCTTAGTCAGAATGGAGTGAATAAGTAAAACAAAACAAAATTTAATGCGGGTTTATTAGTTCTGGAAAAAAAAATTCATTGAAGTAAACATTATAATTGAAACGATAACACTTACATAAAACACCCAGTACGTGTTTTGTAGTTCCAGGTCTTTATAGACCTGGAACCTCCGCCCCAGGAAGCTACCTTCCTCTATCTTTACGGAGTCAGGGATTACCCCCCGACCCCGTAAAATAGCAACATTTTCCTAAATAAGAGCTAATTAAAATACGGTATGATGCATGAAAAGTACTTACAGATGCATATTTTTGTTTGAATTAATGCTCGGAGTTCTCGTTCTACAAATATATGGTTAAACGTGTGATAGATATGTGGCGTATTTACCATAGGCCGTCTGCAATGGGCCAAAGATGATGGCCGCACCTTGAGCTGAAAAATTACATACATTAAGTTTGATGAAAAATAGAAAAGGGGTCATTCTTACCCTCCATTTTCTTCGCAACTGACTATCGAACGGTTTCGAGGAGGAGTTTTATTTATTGCTATCCATTTAGATAGGAAACCTGTACAGATTGCACAGCTATGACAAACGATGTCATAGGAAGTTCGATACAAAGGGGTATGCAGATAAACATACAATAAAAATTTACATCCTTCACTCATTATATTCAATATCGCCATACCTTAGAACGTGATATTATATAGGTAAAACATTTGGTACATGCCGCTGATAGATTTGTATTATTATCGATCAAAGCATCCTATTAGTTTTGAAAATGCGTACGTTGCGGAGGGTTCCCGAAGTCTGAAGACCTTCAAAAATTAGTATGCTCGTAGGTAGTGTATTATTTTAGAAGGAGGTCTACTTTGAAGGTGATACGATAAACTTGAATACTTTTCGTTTCATTGACCAATTCCATATACCTTTTGAGTATTACCTCGACCTATTCAAAAGCCGGCTGTTTCACTACATCGACTATCGTTATGCCCTGGAGATGAGTAGATTTTAAAATTTGCTATAACTAAAGTTTAACGATACCTATATATTCTATTTACTCACGAGCTGCCGCCATTGATAATTTCGTAAAGCGTAGCTTAAGATTACGACTCAAGGACACCTATATAGTTGCATTGTTTTAATAGGAAAAGCATAAATTCTTTCTAGAAATTTTGCGGGACATGATAGTTAGACTTGAGGATATATAGGTGCAAGACTAACAGGAAACCGTTAGAACTTGTAGGCGTTTAAGTCAAAGGTGTCATATTGATAACAATAGAACCGAAGAAGCGCGTTATCTATAAAATTGCATTGGATGATGTGACCGCTTTATACTGAATAAATATTTGAATAGTAGGTATTTGCGTAAAAGCGCTCGGATTTACCGAAAGAGCTTGCAATATTTATAATGGAAAGCAGATGGCTTACAACGTCAAGCTACCTGGCTAATCCATAACCATCGCGGAATTAAATGGGAGCATGGTCATACGCCATCCTACATGTTTCCAATTATACTTCGCCAGGAATTAAATGGGAGCATGGTCATACGCCATCCTACATGTTTCCAATTATACTTCGCCAGTTAATATCATCATCAGACCAAGTATACGTTAAAGGAAAAGAAAAAGCCGATTTCATTCGAAAAAAACTCTATCGCAAAATGTCACCGAGGTGGAAGAAGAACCAGCTTTACGTAAATTAGAAGCATGTTGCTACTATCATATACGCTCACTTTGTTGTTGCGCTTTATCTAACGTTTATTATACTTATTTATAATACTCATATAATTTATTGCAATTGATACATCTTAATACGATTACATAATATGGGCTCTAAAACAGCTGCAATGCGTTCTATTTTACATTTGAAGCGGTACCTATCTAATGCGACAGTTTCCCACGGACCCTTTCTTGCTTCTCTGTAAGCATAGGACCAAGCTCGCAAGATGTAAATTTTATTTTTTTGTTTCATTGTGTCAAACCATACAAACGAGTCTGAGAACGAGCTTTTTAAGCAAAACTTGCTATTGTACAGCTCTTTTTTCTTCCTTCTGATTTTCTTCTTCACATTACTCTTTCTTTTATTCCGTTCCACACTTTCCTCTTCATCGCTGATATCTCGATATTACCATTTCTTCAATTCGTTTACATATTCTTCTAATGTACGGAGCTACTTAATTGATATCAGTATTGCTACAGTAAACGACTAACTGTCTCCTTTACGCCTTAAAACTTTCTCGGATGAGCTGTTTTCTACATTTCTTCAGCATCGAAGTGACCCATTATAGGTTCTCCTAATAGATCCTCAAGGTATATATGATTACCAACCTTTAGCGACTTTAACAGTTTCGTAGAATAATTTGAAGTGTAGTCTCTTGCAAAAATTATCAGCCTCACTATAAATGTTTTCTATACCATTCTCTACGGAGAACTTAGCCCTTTGTTACATATACGACCTTAGGTAATCTATATGTAGGGGAAATTTGCAATGTTTTAACCCAAATAGGTCCCGCTATTTTCTTTATTATCTCAGGTAAAATATACTGTTCAAACCAATCAGTCGTATGATCGTATCCAATTTCATCACTTTCATATTCAAATTTCCCGCCGTTCTTGTTTTCCCAAACAATCTTCACTTTAAGTTTATCAAGAATTTGTGGTATTCTGCGTCGACATCTATCATCTTCACACATATACAGTTCTTTTCCGAATAATCTGCACAACACCTCTTTAATTTCTTTTCGCTCGGTAACGTAGACAGGGACAGGTTGAGGCTTTTTGGGAGGATTTTTAATCGAATCCTCGAGAATTTGCAGCATCATGTTAAAGATTCGTTCTTCTCTCTCCCCATAATTTTCCTGATAGCATTGTTGACAACAAGTTTCAAAGTCATAGTACTTTATCCCCTTTCCGTCTTTTCTTAAAGTACTTCCAACGCGGTATCCTTCTTTTTCGCAGCAAATTTCACATTTTTCCTTTAGCTCAGGTCGACAGTCGCTACAGTTACAAGGTCTTCCCCAATTACACGCTTTAGACATCGTTGAAGGGCTGCTCTTCTCGACAACACAACACCAAATGGTTTCTGTCCTCTGTTCTGAACCCCTTTATGCCTTTACGGAAAAGCAAGCTATGGGAATTAAAAGGATCACACCTCCTTTAGGTCAGTTAGCAAACCCCGCTGGAACAGTTGGCAAAGCCGTTAGATCAGATAGGTAGAGCCCTTGGATCAGTTGAAAAAGCCGTTGGACCGCTTTCGAACTGCTTTGAACCGCTTTCGAACTGCTTTGAACCGTCTCTGAACCGATGTTGACCCGCTTTAGAACTGCTTTGAATCGGTTTTGGACAGCTGGGGACCGCTATGAACCGCCTCTGAACCGCTTTCGAACTGCTTTGAACCGTCTCTGAACCGCTTTCGAACTGCTTTGAACCGGTTTTGAACCGCCTCTGAACCGCTTTCGAACTGCTTTGAACCGCTTCTGAACCGCTTTCGAACTGCTTTGAAC